CTGTGATACATAGGGACACTGAGACACTGGGTGACTTGCGAGACTGAGACACTGGGAGACAGGGAGACACTGGGAGCAATCCATCTATACAGCAGAATCAAACTGTGAGTAGTTTGGTGATTTTACAGAATTTTCTCTGATGTCACTCCTTGTGATTTACATCATGTGATGTCACGCATAACTAATTAATTATACAAATTATTAAGGCTGGTATTTTTTTCCAAGAAAGGTGGCAACCTTAACTACTCTTCACATACTCTTGCTTAAAGGAGCACTATAGGGTCAGGAACACAATCATGTATTTCTGACCCTATTATGTTAAAACCACCACCCTGGCCCCTTCTTGCCTCCCTAAATATAGTAAAATATTACTTGTATTCAATTCTGTAGCTGCTTGCTCAGAAGTGGTGGTCTGAGCAAATTACAATACTTCCCCATAGGATTGGCTGAGACTGTCAACTAGGCAGATCAGGGGCAGAGCCAGCACAAGTCCAACCTAGCCCTGGCCAATCAGCATCTCCTCATAAAGATAAATTGAATCAATGCATCTCTATGAGGAAAGTTCAGTGTCTGCATGCAGAGGGTGGAGACACTGAATGGCAGTGCTGCACACTAGGCAGTACTGCCCCAGGAAGCACCTCTAGCAGCCATCTAAGGAGCAGCCACTGGAGTTATTTTCTCTGAAAAGACAGTGTTTACTGCAAAAAGCCTGAATGGAATGATTCTACTTACCAGAACAAATACAATAAGCTGTAGTTGTTCTGGTGACTATAGTGTCCCTTTAAGTTTGGAAGCTTAAGAGGGATGTATGGGAACAAAACTTGTGTGCACTGGCTGACATTAAAATTAGTTTAGGTAATGCAGACATTGGTCTCTCTAACACTGTGATATGTCCCCTTTCTTCTACACTCACTACAGACACCTTTTCTCTGTCTCAGACTATATACCAGGAACTTCTTCCTGCTAGTAAGAAGGTAACGAGACAAGTGGACCAGCGAGTGCTATGGGACAGTCCTTAGAAAGAATGGAGTGAGCGCATCATTAGACACATTTATGTCAAGCTCAAGGTGCTGCCTGCATAGTATGCCCTTAGTTGGACAGCCTGCAGGATTGGCAGGCAGCCTGACATGCATTCATGCCAGGCTGACCTTCCAATTCTTTGGACAAACATGCCCCTTTTTGTTCACCCCTTTTGGCAGGTCTTGTCACGTGATTCGCGCCAGTGGCACACCCTTTTACCCCGCCCATTGACTTCCTGCTTCACTGGACACTGCTGTTAGGGGTTATGGATTTACTTGAAAGATGAAAGCATAAATTAGAGAGGGATTAGCATAGAGTATGTGTTTTCTTATAGCTGCATCCTATGAGTTTCCCTCCAGCACCATCTCCATCAGATACATGAGGTATGATTGTTTTAGTGTTTTTGGTCGATAAGATAATAAGGCCCATAATTAGGCCCATCATAATTGTCAGCACCAGGCCCACTGTGCTCTTAATCCGGCCCTGGCTGTATGTGTTTAGGGGAGTGGCTGTATGTGTGCAAGGGAGTGGCTGTATGTGTATAGGGGCGTGACTGTATGTGTATATGGGCGTGGCTGTACGTGTATAGGGGAGTGGCTGTATGTGTTTAGGGGAGTGGCTGTATGTATGTGTTTAGGGGAGTGGCTGTATGTGTATAGGGGAGTGGCTGTATGTGTTTAGGGGAGTGGCTGTATGTGTATAGGGGCGTGGCTGTATGTGTTTAGGGGAGTGGCTGTATGTGTTTAGGGGAGTGGCTGTATGTGTTTAGGGGAGTGGCTGTATGTGTATAAGGGAGTGGCTGTATGTGTATATGGGAGTGGCTGTATGTGGTTAGGGGAGTTTCTGAATGTATAGGGGAGTGGCTGTATGTGTATAGGGGTGTGGCTGAATGTGTTTAGGGGTGTGGCTGTATGTGTTTAGGGGTGTGGCTGTATGTGTTTAGGGGAGTGGCTGTATGTGTATAGGGGCGTGGCTGTATGTGTATAGGGGCATGGCTGTATGTGTTTAGGGGCATGGCTGTATGTGTTTAGGGGAGTGGCTGTATGTGTGTAGGGGAGTGGCTGTATGTGTATAGGGGCGTGACTGTATGTGTATATGGGCGTGGCTGTATGTGTATAGGGGAGTGGCTGTATGTGTTTAGGGGAGTGGCTGTATGTGTTTAGGGGAGTGGCTCTATGTGTGTAGGGGAGTGGCTGTATGTGTATAGGGGCGTGACTGTGTATATGGGCGTGGCTGTATGTGGGGTGGCTGTATGTGTTTAGGGGGTGGCTGTATGTGTTTAGGGGCGTGGCTGTGTTTAGGGGAGTGGCTATATGTGTTTAGGGGAGTGGCTATATGTGTATAGGGGAGTGGCTGTATGTGTATAGGGGCGTGGCTGTGTGTGTTTAGGGGAGTGGCTGTATGTGTATAGGGGCGTGGCTATATGTGTTTAGGGGAGTGGCTGTATCTGTTTAGGGGCGTGGCTGTGTTTAGGGGAGTGGCTGTATGTGTATAGGGGAGTGGCTGTATGTGTTTAGGGGAGTGGCTGTATGTGTATAGGGGAGTGGCTGTATGTGTTTAGGGGAGTGGCTGTATGTGTATAGGGGCGTGGCTGTATGTGTTTAGGGGAGTGGCTGTATGTGTTTAGGGGAGTGGCTGTATGTGTTTAGGGGCGTGGCTGTATGTGTTTAGGGGTGTGGCTGTATGTGTTTAGGGGAGTGGCTGTATGTGTTTAGGGGAGTGGTTGTATGTGTTTAGGGGCGTGGCTGTATGTGTTTAGGGGCGTGGCTGTATGTGTATAGGGGAGTGGCTGTATGTGTTAAGGGGAGTGGCTGTATGTGTTAAGGGGAGTGGCTGTATGTGTATAGGGGAGTGGCTGTATGTGTTTAGGGGCGTGGCTGTATGTGTTTAGGGGCGTGGCTGTATGTGTATAGGGGCGTGGCTGTATGTGTTTAGGGGAGTGGTTGTATGTGTATAGGGGCGTGGCTGTATGTGTTTAGGGGAGTGGCTGTATGTGTATATGGGCGTGGCTGTATGTGTATATGGGCGTGGCTGTATGTGTTTAGGGGAGTGGCTGTATGTGTATATGGGCGTGGCTGTATGTGTTTAGGGGAGTGGCTGTATGTGTATAGGGGCGTGGCTGTATGTGTTTAGGGGCGTGACTGTATGTGTATAGGGGCGTGACTGTCTGTGTATAGGGGCGTGGCTGTATGTGTTTAGGGGAGTGGCTGTATGTGTTTAGGGGCGTGGCTGTATGTGTATAGGGGCGTGGCTGTATGTGTTTAGGGGCGTGGCTGTATGTGTATAGGGGAGTGGCTGTATGTGTATAGGGGCGTGGCTGTATGTGTATAGGGGAGTGGCTGTATGTGTTTAGGGGAGTGGCTGTATGTGTATAAGGGAGTGGCTGTATGTGTTTAGGGCCTTTCACGCATGCCTCAGGGAGCGGCCGTGCTGCCACGGGCTGTATGTGTTTAGGGCTGCATGTATGTGTATATGGGAGTGGCTGTATGTGTATAGGGGCGGCTGTATGTGTATAGGCTTGGCTGTATGTGTATAGGGCTTGGCTGTATGTGTTTAGGGGAGTGGCTGCATGTGTTTAGGGGCGTGGCTGTATGTGTTTAGGGGAGTGGCGTATATGGGCGGCTGTATGTGTTTAGGGGCGTGGCTGTATGTGTATATGGGAGTGGCTGTATGTGTATAGGGGCGTGGCTGTATGTGTATAGGGGCGTGGCTGTATGTGTATAGGGGCGTGGCTGTATGTGTTTAGGGGAGTGGCTGTATGTGTATATGGGCGTGGCTGTATGTGTTTAGGGGAGTGGCTGTATGTGTATATGGGAGTGGCTTCCCTCGGACCCACCCTCTTTTCAGTTGTTATTGTCTCTGTCACAGCTAGCGGGGAGCACGTCCTTGCCAATAGGTTTTTGGGGGCTATTACATTGAGTGTACCAAGCTACACGTGGCCATCAAGCCAAAAGCCAGCTGGTGGGAAGTATTAAAAGGAAAAGGGAATTTTGGTTTGGAGGGAGGAGGCAAGTTGGTGCATAGGCACGTGATCTCGTTCAATGTTAAGTCTGTAGGGTCTAGGTGTTAATAATTATATGTTATGTTATGGATTATTTATGTATTATCTCTGGTAATAATTAAATGACAACGTTAATAAATGTTTTAATAAATGCTGTGGCCTGTTCCATCCAAATTTGGTGTCTGTGGTTATTGGGGGGATATTTGGGGTAGGCTATAAGTTATCTTATTTGCATCAAATTCCCCGCTACGTCCATACATGTTCTTCACAGACATGTAGATCCAAGTGCTAGATTAGAAACCTCATACTCTGTACATAGCCCCACCTCGGCCATATTTACAGATAAAATGTATTTATCTGGACACTGTATGCTACGTGAAACAAAAGGCCCAGGGCCTTCTTTAACACAGGACAAAGGAGTCCTATAATCTGCATCTATCCCAGAAGTCTCTTACTGGGTGAGGTGAACAGATAAGTTCAGCGGCCCTCACACAAATGGCCAACGGGGATCTGCAAAGAAGTGATATGCAATACAGGACCATCAATCCTTACTGCTCCCTTTGTGTGGTGTTATGATGTCACAGAGTGATGGCAAATTAGAGGAAGAATGCCACTGATATAGAGGGTGGAGCAGAGGCATTAGGTCTCCATAAGCTGATGCAGGTGTGTCTGTAGATCTGTGAATGTGTGTGCCTCTGTTTGTGTGTCTATCAGTCTGTGCCTGCATGTAAGTATCTGTCAGTGTGTGCCTGTCTGTGTGTGCCTGTCTGTGTATATGTATGTGTGTGCCTGTATTTGTGTGTCTATCAGTCTGTGCCTGCATGTAAGTATCTGTCAGTGTGTGCCTTTGAGTGTATATGTATGTGTGTGCCTGTATTTGAGTATGTCTGTTTGTTCCTGTATGTGTGCAGCTGTCAGGATGGCTGTCATTGCATTTATTCACCTCCTGGAGGTGCTCTTCTTCCTACCACAGATGTACCAAAACTCGACAGAACCAGGCGCCCATTAAGACTCTGTGGCTGTCGGAAATTCATCTGCAGGACGTGGTCATGGTCAGAATGTATACTGTCCTCCAGTGTGGCAAGCTGGGAGAAAAATATTACAATTATTACTCATCATCACATTTCTATCACACAGTAACAATATATATATATATATATATAACATGCTGTATTCGTATTTGTGTGGAGTACACAGAAAGTAAATGATCCCTCGTTAGATTTGAGAAATATTTGCATGACGCCATTTTGTTTTTGGGACCCCTGATATATTGGACAAACCCTCATAATATATGTAGAATTCTGGTGTGAAATCAGTGAATTATGGTGATTCTTTTGAGATTGTGATTAAAAGGCACTGTAAATGCTTCATCCCACTGAAGTGGTTATAGTGTCTGGAGTCCCCTGGTGCCATCCCTCCATTCAGTTTTAAACCGCTTTTAATGTTAAACGAGAGACTCCCAGCAGCCCCATCGCCTCTGTGCTGTGTGTTAATGAGGAAGTATAAGCCTGAGCAGCAATGGGTGGCTGTGATTGAATAAGAGTGTCAGCTGACTGCTTTCAGCCTATCACAGCCCTCATTGCTGGTATGAATTGGTATGGTTAGAAGGAAGTATATTAGCCACACCCAGGAGGGGCAAAGCCATGGGAAGCCAGGGACCCTTATATTGTGTTAAACTGCTGGCAAATGGTTTAATGCTGAATGGAGGAACTGCGTCAGGGAAATCCAGACACTATAACCACTTTAATGAGATGGAATGGTTTAAAACTAAATGGAGGGATAATGCCAGGGGACTAGGGGCACTATAACCACTTCAATGAGATGAAATGGTTTGACACTAAATGGAGGGATAGCACCGGGGAACTTCAGGCACCATAACCACTTCAATTATATAAAATGGTTATAGTGCCTAGAATGTCTCTCTAATTCATTGATTTTATACTTGGTACACCTTAACTCCATACACTGCTGGGTACCTGGTCACTTTCATGCATGAACACAGAAATAGATTAGCTCTAGTCAATCCATCTGACATGAATAAATGGGGTATATATGTGTACAAGTGTATGTAGAGATAGATTTACTGTGGTATAATTTACAAGCCCACTCTGACTTTGGGGTCGAACCTGTTGCTCGGACAGGGTGATGGTCTGGTTAAAGATAGTCCAGTTGACACTCTGGAAGCAGGGTGGGGTGGTTAGAGATCCATTGTAACGATAGTATCTGTCCAGCTTCTTGGGTAATAGGCCACGAATATCAAACCTCGGGATC